ACTTTGCAGCTTGAGGCAAAGACTTGGGCTAATTTTACTGTTCTGCAAGATTATCATGTTGAACTATATACTAGTATTTCCTTGATGTATTAGTTCTTTTTATTAAAAAAAAAATTATATTGAACTACTTTGTTGCTTCTTTTATTATGATATAAATGGACTATTTATCGTACTATGTCCATATATTCTTTTTTATGTCATTTTATATTTGTTGAAGTTTTAGTAGGAAAATAAGAATAAGTGTTGACTAACTTCTCTATCATATGAACTAATTATGAGGTATCTGATTACAAGCTTTTCTATCACTTGATTAAATTCATTTTTAAGTGTTAATTATGAATTACATGGTTTGACTTAGATGAAGATGCTGCAAAGTACATTAGCAGTTGCCATGCTGCTATTATCTCTTGCTTTGGTATCTCATTTGTTTGTTTCCATATAATGTTGGTATTAAAATGAAAAAATGTTGGTAACTCATTGAAGGCCCGTTAAAATAGTCGAGGCAGGTTATGTTTTTTGGACATTTATGGAATCGTGCATCCGTTAATGTGTCTTTTCTTTAGCGGGTAAAGCTCCCCCTTTCAATGAATAGTTGAAGCCCTAGTGAATCGCATAGGAAATCGCTTCTAAATTACATCTATCCTCCACTCCAGTCCAACGCTTAAAAAAAGAATGTTGTGAGCCGCTTTTTTTACGCTCAACGCTAGGTAAGCTATGCTTATTCATCCGTACCATTATAATACAAGGGCGAAGGGTGGTTAATCCACTTCATCAATTCTTGGTGTTGCGAACCTCATCGGTTAGAAATCTGAGATTGTGTTTCTGATACTCAGTGGTGTTCATTCGTTTATGTTAGTTATGAAAATGAGATGGTTATTAATTGAAGAGTTGAAGTTTAAACGATAGTTATGAAAATGAGATGGTTATTAATTGAAGAAGCTGAAGTTACTAATGTATTTATTGAGTATTTGGTTAGTAGATTTCGAATTTTAATTATATTCCAATATGTGAGATTAGTCTAGTGGCAACATCATGTGAAAAATAGGATTCTAAACATATTCACAAGCCATAGCACTTGCAGATAATGGGCAACAGTCTCAATAATTTCGACCTTCTTGAACAATGGCAATGGCAGTGACAAAGAACTATAACATTTGAGTTTATCACAATACCATAAACTGAAATAATATTGTATGAAAATAGTAAAATAGTCATTGAACAAATTAAAATTACAAAAGTAAATTCATACTTTTAAGTTCAAGATAAAACTATAATTCAACCAATTTGTTGACCACCATGTAAGTTCCATAAGTGGTCAATGAGATCATTCTTTAACTCCATGTGCACTCTTTTGTTTTGTATCTCCTTCATTCTGCTAGTCATCCTTGACACGAGATAAGAAAAAATCATGCTCTGGAATGACATTATCATTTACTTCATGTCGTCTAATCTGTTATGGCTGCCAACTCTCGGGATTCATTCATGGGCTAGTTTCATTTTCAATAATCATGTTGTGTAAGATGATGCACGTATTCATAATTTTCTCCAAATCTTTAGCATTCCACATACGCGTTGGCCTTTTTACAATATGCCATCGACTTTGCAAAACACCAAATGCACGTTCTACGTCCTTTCGTGCAGCTTCTTGCCACTTGGCAAATAACTTCTCCTTCATTGAAGATGGACTAGAGATTGTCTGAATTAAAGTGGCATATTGTGGGTATATTTCATCTGATAAGTAATAGCCCATATTGTAATGATGACCATTCACTACGAAATCGCATGCTGGAGCTTTTTTGTTAATAAGATCATCAAACAATGGAGACCTATCTAAGACATTAATGTCATTATTAGTACCGGCCATTTCGAAAAATGCATGCCAAATCCATAAATTTTGGGAAGCCACAATCTCTAAAATAAGAGTCGGAACTTTTTTGAAACCATTAGTATGTGTTCCATGCCAAGCCGTGGGACAATTTTTCCAATGCCAAAGCATACAATCCAAACTACCAAGCATTCCTGGAAATCCACGCCTCTCTCCCTCTTCCAACAACCCCGCAATATCTTTTCCGGTCGGTTTTCTTAAATACTGTTCTGCAAAAATACCAATTATAGCATCACAAAATCTTTTTAAGCTCTCAAATGCAGTGGTTTCTCCAATCTGAATATACTCATCTAGAGAATCTACTGAGCAGCCATATGCAAGCATTCTTATTGATGCAAGTAATTTTTGTAAAGGAGTTAATCCAGGCTTCCCAACAACATCAAACTTTAATGTGAAATAATTGTCATAACTTTGAATTGCTTTTGAAATACATTCAAACAATTCAATAGTCATTCGAAAACGACGACGAAATTGGTCAGGAGTGTATTTCGAATTCTCACCACTAAAATAATCTTTGACAATTATATCATGTCGTTTTCTGTCACGATGTATATAACATCTCTCACTCGTAGACCCACCATGAAGACCTTTTTCTTTGACTAACAACGGAGAAACTATTAAAGGAACATGGAGTAGACATGTTTGAACCAAATCCATATCCGTTTCTGTATCTAGACTGTCATCTCCAGTAGGCTCATCCAACAGTTTTTTAGTTAACGAAAGTTCGCAATCACTGTTTGATGAACTATTGGAGTCTGAATCATAACAAAAATTCGCCATTTATTATTTGTTAACCTGTAGAAAAATAAAAAATAAAAAAACCACATAGAAGTTATTAACAATATTAATCTATAGACTTGTGTTAATCTTGTGGTAATCAACATAAATGATCAAATAAAACTAACCAAATGCATATTACAGGCGATCAAATAAATAAACATTATACAATGAATATATCCTCAAAACATACACACAGCACAAAGAATTATAAATGTATGACAAAAGAACGAAAAAAAAATGGAAGGTGATAGTGTAATATCCCGATATTTTATCGGTATAAATTACATTTTAGTTCCGATATAATAACGTTATCGTTTATCATTTCGAAATTAATTATTTTCAGTCAAGATTATCGAAATCTATTTTTGACGTACCGTTTACGTTCGAAAATAGTTTTGGTAATTAAGTAATATGTTTAATAAAATAATTAAACATATATTAGTGATTAAATGTTAAGTTATCACACTTAAGTGATTAAGTAATGTTTTATGGGCAAGATCAGCCCATTAACCGTGGGCATGTGGATGTACTAGGCCCAATTTAAGTGTGACGGCCGAAGCTTCCTTTAAGGTGAAGAAGGAGAATTTTCT